CCACTTATTTCATTGTTGTATAATGTCCTACTGTGCCACTATCACACCACTTATGTATCCATGCTTTTGATGAGAGCTACTGAGAATATGCCTTTTTTCTTTCTCTTTTTTAAATTCATTATTGAAGTATGGTTGACATACAATGCATTAGTTTCAGGTGTATAACAGAGACTTGACAGTTCTATACATTATTCAATGCTCACCATGGTAAACGTAGTCACCACAAAACATTATTATAGTATTATTGAGCATATTCCCAAGGCTGTACCTTCCATCTCCATGACTTACTTATTTTATGACTGGAAGTCGGTACCTCTTAATTCCATCACCTCTTTCACCCGTGGTAACCATCAGTTGATGTTCTCCTTGTTTAAGAGTCTGCTTATTTGTTCATTTGTTTTCTCTTTTAGATTCCACATACGAGTGAAATCAAATGGTATTTGTCTTTGTCTGACTTATTTCCCTTAGCATAATACTCTCTAGGTCCACCCATGTTGTTGCAAATGGCAAGATTTCATTTTAAAGGCTAATATTCCTGTGTATGTGTGTGTGTGTGTGTGTGTGTGTGTGTGTGTACCACATCTTCTCTATCCATTTGTCTTTCAGTGGACACTTGGCCTGCTTCCATAATTTGACTATTGTAAATAATGCTACAGTAAACATAGGGGTGCATATATCTCTTCAAATTAGTGTTTGTTTTCTTTAGTAAGAAAATAGTATGATGATTCCTTAAAAATAAAAAACAGAGATATCATATAATCCAGTAAGAATATGTCCTTTAACAGAATCATAGACTTTTAACAAAACTTGGATAAGAGAGTGGAAGCCATTTGTCATAAAAGGTTTAGATTAAATTCTAGGCATCTCCATCCTTGTTATTTTGGAACTCTACTTCATTGCTGATTTCATTTCTGAAACAGGATGTCTAAGTATTTCTAGTCTATTTAATGCTTGTTATGAATATACGCTCCATACTTCTATGCAGCATGCTGTCCTGCCTGATGGGTAGAATACGCTGCCTATCACCCTTATCCTTCAAGGGCCAGCTTAGAGACCACTCCTCCAGGAAGCTCGACTGGTCCTACAGGAAGTGACCTCTCTCTTTTCTGAGATGCCAGACTATTTGGTATATCTCTCTTTTCTCCTGTTGCCTTTTACATTATGTTCTGCTCTAACAGCCGCCATCCCCTTTGTAGTAGTAGTTTTGTATCTTGGTGTAGCTTAAAAGAATACAAAGAGCCAGGGATAGTTTGGTAGACCTTTTATTAAGGGCTTTTTACAACGTGATGTCCCCTATGCTGTGGGCTCAGGCACTGTTATAATGCAGACCTGATTCAGAAAGAGAGTCTTGGAGATTTTATCGGTTCCTGAATGAGAATAAAGACCCAATTTTCTCCCAGTTTTATTACTCTCCCATCCATATAGAATGGAATGAGTTTCTTCAGCTGATCTTATTAACCCGTGGCCATGTGTCATTTTGGCTCCACACCACCATTGCAAACTTAGCCTTAGAACTTAGAACGGTTTGGTAAAACCAGCTCTTATCTGAGGCTCACAACATTCTGTAGGCATGTGTTTGTTCAGTTAAGCTGTTCTGCCTTAATTTCTTGAGAAGGGCATCAAGGTGTAAGGTTACTTTTGTTTGTTGTGTTTTAGTATTTTGCTGGAATTACCAGTTTTCCTTTTAATCATGATCAAGACTCTGTGATTAATACTACACTCAAGTATATGCTACCTTATTTTATGTTCATTTTTTTCTAGCTCTTGATTTCCCTACTAGATTCTAAGGGGCCACATCTCATTTGTCTTTGTGACTTCACTGTGTTAGGCTTCTAAAAATGTCTGAAGGAAGATCAATGAAAATGAGTGGCTTGAATGGCTTCACGAGGGAGGGACTAGCCTGGGAATCTGAGCACAGCAGAATTGTATATAGCCTTCAGCCCATTACCTCCTTCCTAAAACATATCTGACTAATATATCAATGTCCCCCTTCTTTCCTCCAAGGATATTTTGAGGCAAAATTGGGTTATACATAACATTTTGAGCCTTTCAGAGATAGAATTAGATAAGGTACTTGCCTCTCAAGAGTTGTATAATTTAGTCAGATAATCATCTTCTGCTAGAGTCCCCTTTCATGTGAAGATTTTATTGGAAGACTTTTGAAAATATATATATAGGAGTAAATGATTCAGCCTTTCTGATAATTTTGAAATGGTTTAAGAGATTACAAATCAAGAATCTATCAGTGGACTAAGTTAATTACCTGTCTCTGCCACCAGTTGCTCTATTCATGACCCTGGAGAAGGTCACTTCTTTCTCTCTGCTCATCTTTGGCTGCCTCTTCCAGGGTGTTGTCAGAACACATCGTACTATTGTACGAAATAAAATCATGGAAATTCAGAGTGCTAAGTAGACTTAGCATCAACAGTTCCTGGCCCACAATAGGGTCTCAGTATTTGTAGACTAAACGAATGAGTGAATTATCGATCCATTTCCACCACTGCAGATTACTGCAGTATTCCCAGCAGGTGTCATTTCCCCAGCCTTGGCTTCAGCACCTCTGCTGGTGGAGAGAGCTCACTCCCTCTGAAGGCGACTCATTTCCTTTGTCAACAAATTTAATTCCTGTCCAGTGTCACCTTGGACTCCCGTGAGGTGTCTTCCAATTCTGCTGGGCAGTTAGTCATTGCTGTATTGCATTCGTCAAGCATCTTAGTCATATCTCTGTTGTAGTATTGATCACAGTACATATAGCACCCTGATTTATAATGCCTGTTCTGTCTCCTGTTTCTCATCTATGAGCTCCATGAGGACATAGGTGTGTCTTATTTTCTTTATACTCCCAGATTCTGGCACAGTACAGAATAGATGTACTCCCACTGGGTGGAAGGGGGAGAGAAAAGAACAGTAATAACAGGGAGCATAGGTAATGATTGCCAACTCAGTGGTCCTCAAGAAGGAGATACTCACCCAAGAAGATGTGCACCAAAAATGACCCATTGGGATCATTGAAGGAGAAAACTTTTTAACTATTTCCATTTTTGTTAAGCTCCACCATTTTATATATGTTTTATACTATGCATACTAGTTTAATATAGCTATACATGTGGCAGATAGTCTCTTCTTTACTGTCCTGCCTGCCACTCCCTGTGGTGTATACAATAAACTCCTATCTCTTTTTTTAAAAAATACATATATGTATATTATATATATAGCTGTACATGTGTTTAATTTATAAATAAACATATATTAGAAGGTACATACTCATAAAGTTTTTCATAGAGGTACAAATCATAGGTTTGGGGACCCTTAGTGTAGCTGTCTGTAAGGTACTATGCTAAGCATTTTACATACATTATTTCATTTAGCCCACTGAAAATCACATGAGGTATACACTGTGGTTCCATTCTACAGATAAAGAAACTGAGGTAGGGAGAGGTTCGATAATTTGCCCAGTCACACCCAGCTGGTAACCAGTGGAACTAGGGCCCAGACTCAGACCTGTCTGGCTTAACCACTGCCCATTCTCTCTTGGTTTTCTGTCCTAACACCTATGGTTGTACCTGAGGCACAGTATAGGTTCGTGAATTCAATAAATAAAAGGAACGGATGAAGTAATCACACCGAGGACATATTAAAGCTTTTTCAAGAAAAATTGTGAAGATGAAAACAGAATTTCCCTTCTTACTGTAAAAGTGTGTGTTGGTGATGAGAACGTTTTATTCCATTTTCTTCCTTTTTTCTTTTTTTCTTTTTTTTTTTTTTTTGACAGAAAAACTGAAGCGAAGCACAGCAGGTCACAGTGCTCACTACTGAGCCCACAGCCCAGCTCTGAGTCTAGTTTTCACATCTGAGGACTGAACTACCTTGTTTTTATTGAGGTATCATTCATATACCATAAAAGTCAGCCTCCGAAAGAGTACAGTTCAGTTTTTAGCATATTCACAAGATTCTGGAACCATCTAACTTTAAAACATTGGCATCACCCACAAAAGACACTGCAAACCCACTGGCAGTCACTCCCCATTCAGGCCCTGTCAGCCCTGGGCAGCTGCCCATCTGCTTTCTGTCTCTATGGATGGGTCTTTTCTGGCCATTTCATACAAATGGAATCATACAATCCGTGACCTTCTGTCTCTGGCTTCTTTCCCTTAGAATATTTTCAAGGTCCATCCATGTTGTAGCATGCATCCGTATTTCGTGACTCTTCATGGGTAAATTACATTCCATTGTGTGGATAGCAAAAATCGAGTCATCAGGTGACGGACATTCGGTTGTTTCCATTTTTTTGGGTCTTATGAATAGTGCTGCTGTGAACAATGTTCATGTTTTTGTATGAACATACATTTTCAGTTCTCTTGGGTAGCACCCAGGAGTAGCCCATGTTTAACATTTTGAAGAAACACCAAACTGTTGTGCAAAGTGGCGGCACCATTTTACATTCCCACCAGCAGTGTGTGAGGTTCCAGTTTCTTTGCATCCTCACCAACACTTGCTACTGCCTAACTGTGTAGAATAACAGTCCTAGTGGGTGTGGAGGGTGTTCCATTGCGGTGCTGATTTGTATTTCTCTAATGATAGTGACATTGAGCATCTTTTCTTATGTTTATTGTCCCCCAACTATTTCTTCTTCATTTAAATTATTTCTATTTCTCTTTTGTTTTAGTGTTTTTCATTAGGATATAAATTTTGTTCTTCTTGTGATAACTGTTTTGTCCTTAAAACTCTCAAAACATATTAAATACTCATGAAATCTCCTATTAGCGATTATATGGTCTCTCAGGGTGCCAGGTAGCTGCAGCCACGAATTATAAAAATTTAAATGAGTTTCCACTACCAACTTTCCAGAAAATGTCTACATCACATTAGTAGATCACAAGCTTTCATAATCCCCTAATTATGATAATGATAGTGCTTTATTCAAAACGTTTTAATGTCCTAGAAACACAAGAATTTTTTAAATTATATTTTCTTAATTTTTTTACATCCCTGTGAGACAGAAAAGAAGAGAAGACAGTAGCTGTTTCAAAGGGTCCTCCGAGAAAGTAAGTGTAGAGGTTTGAATATCTAAAAAATTCTAGTGTGTCATGAAACCTTTTTGAGCACAACCAGTGTTTGCAAGATAGACAAGAAAATTCCACAATTGTTTTTAAGTCATATACAGTCCCGGATGTAAATCAGTACTCACAAGTGATGCTAACATTTTAACGATGTTAAAATTAACCTTTGCCATTAAACTTGGTTTAGACCACAGGGAAAGAAAGGTTTTTGAAAATTCCATATGACGATTTCTTCCCCGTACATTGAAAGAATATTTCCATTAGCCTCTAAAGATTTGTGGTAGTATTCTTGGGGGGAAATATACTGGGCAGATTACATATATAGTAAAGTCCAGTTCAGGGGAAGTGTCTGTTAGAGCTACGAGGTCTTTCTGGCTTCCAGAACTTACATGTTCCCATCTTAAGGTAATATTTTATTTGATGGCTTTTACTAGCATCAGTCATTCTCAATATTACTGAAAGTTGAATGTATTTGGTCATAACATTTAGTGATGAAATTCATCAGTATTCTTGTAAACTGGGCCTTCACAGGGAAAGTGATTTTTCTTAAAAAACTTTTTTTTTTAATTTATGTTTAGTCAAAAACCGGTCAAGCACCAGACATCGAAATACAATGAGTGTAAGGCAATGGTGTATGCCTTTGTAGAGCCTGTAAACCATCTGTGGATCCCATAAATGATTACATAACTGCACTTGTGATAAATCCTAAAAAACAAACACCTTATGATTCCATGAGAGCACTTAACGTGGAGGGGCTGACCCCAGTTTGTGGTTGTCAGAAAAGGCTTCCCTGGAAGATGACACAATTTGGGACCTAAAGGAGTTAGCCAGCACATGGGGCACACAGGCTAGCCCGTGCATAGGCACTAAGGCAGACATGAGTTTGATGCTCTTGAGGACATTAATGAAAGACAGTGTGGCTGATGTGCCGGGAGCAAAAACACAAGGTGAGGCAGATGGGGTAGTCATCGTATAAGGGCACGTTAAGGGTCTGGGCATCAGTCAGTCTGGGGAGAGCCATTGAAAGAGGCTAAGGCTGTAGAGTAACGTCTGTTGGTAGCCAGTACATTAAGAACAGTCAAGTGACCCTCTGCTCTGTCCCTTTCTTCTCTCTTGGTCAGGAATATGACTGGAGAAACTATCAGCCCGGCCAGATGAGTGAATCTGAGTTGCAAATGCTGGCCAGCCTGCGGCGGCAACAGAATGAAGAATTGGAGGACACGGGGGCTTCCCATGGCCTGAGTGCTTCCCAGGTGGACAACTGTAACGTCAGCATCAGCACCAGCAGTGACGACACAACCACCTGGAACTCCTGCCTGCCACCTGTGAGTCCGGGGGCTTGCGTCTTTGTTTATTGCCCTAATGAGAAACAAGCTTCCTTCTAACAAAGCCCAGCCTTGCCTGGAAAAACTAGGGCCAACATGAGAACATTCCCGATAAGTAATACTTAGAGCACATTCAGGAGCACCTGGCTGACTCAGTCAGTAGAGCGTGCCATTCTTGATCTTGAGGTTGTAAGTTCAAGCCCCGGGTTGGATGTAGAGATTACCTAAAAATTATAAAGAAAAATATTCAGAGCCCATTTTAGGCCTGTCTTTTCTTAAATTGTCTTACTTACCTTCAGGTAATTTATGTTAATTGTATGGTGATGTATATAAACATACGTTGAAAGCAAAAAAGAATAATTTTACTGTCAATTCTTGGAATCTCACCGTAACCCCAGCTCCTAGCACAAGCCCTGGCACACAAAGGGGCTCGATATCAGCTAAATGAGTGTTTATTAAATAAATGAACAAAAAGGATATTTACCCATCCCTGTGTCTAAGGCCCATGGTAGGCATTGCAGATCCTTCAACAGCGTGTATTTTCCCCTACATTTATACAGTTCAAGCACTATTAACCATGGCCCACCATCCTCACTATGGGCCAACCAAGAAGCTGGATTAGGTCAGGGTCTTCCTGTTCTTCAGGTGAAGACACTAAACTCTCCTGGCTCCGAGTTTCCACACCTGGTCAGTGGTGGAGCCCAGAGCAGAGCCCAGTATTTTGACTCAGTCCATTTCCCCCAGTATTGTTCTCAAAGATCTTATGGCTGAATTGGAAAGACAAAGCGAAATCATTGACAGAACAGTCCTACACAGCTTTAAAAACACCATAAGGCAGAATAATATCAGTATTATAATAGTGGTAATTAGAGCTACCGTTTCTTTAAGCACCTAGAGACATTTTAAGACCTCCATTGGCCCAAGGAAATTTACTAGTAATTTACTTATATTTACTTATAAGGTCACACTCAACATCAGATCAAACATATTAAAGTATCTTTTGATCCAACAGTAAATAAAATTTTTTACTATACAGTTTTTGAAAGGGAGTATAAAATCGGGTAACTTCTATTTATATTTATATAAAATGATATAAAGGTTGAGTTCAAGTGTAGTTGACAGTGGATAACATATGTTTTAAGTGTTTAATTAAATATTTATTAACTTTGCAATTTTCCTCCCAAGAACTTTTTTCCAACTCTCCAGAATCTTTGTAGATCTTAGATATCTCAGATGCTCTGGCACTAGGCCTTACATGTGTTATCTAACTCACTCCTTTCTGCTGTCCTGTGTGGTAAAAGCTGTTGAGTTCCCATTTACAGTTGGGAAAATTGAGACTCTTGAGTGAAATGATTCAGCCTTAGCTTGGCAGGACTCCTGAGTCTGAGCTTCTAACTACCATGATAGAGTGACTTCTCAATATGGTACTTAATTTGCCAGATAAGTGCTACATCCAGAGGAAGGTGAGATTTTTCCTCTGGAGAGTACTTACAAGTCTTCATGGAGGAGGATTTCAAATTGGCTCTAAGGAGATGTGGGGGCAGGCTTCTCTTGCCTTAGTTATATTTTCATTAAACTGAATGTTCAGGCACGTATAACTCCTCCAGCAGCCTTGGCACCAAAGAGTATCTAGGCCCCCACCCACCCCCCCCACCCAACAAAATACTCCTGTGTGCTGGTTACTCAGTATCCTTGTAGCCAGAGCTAAGAACATATGAATAAGTTGCAGAGGCTCTTGGGTGGCTCAGTCGGTTAAATGTCTGACTCTTGATCTTAGCTCAGGTCATGATCTCACAGTTCATGGGATCAAGCCCCACGTCAGGCTCTGTGCTGACAGCATGGAGCCTGCTTAGGATTCTCTCTCTCTCTCTCTCTCTCTCTCTCTCTCTCTGCCCCTCCCCAACTCACGTGTACGCTTGCACGCACGCATGCTCTCTCTCTCTCTTTCTCCCTCAAAATAAGCTTTAAAAAAAAGCAGTTGCAGATTTTTACCAATGCAGTTTACAATGGAATTGAATTGTTGCATTTCTTATAAAATATTCCTCAGCAGTCATTTCAATGGAAAGTAAGAAAGAGAACAGTGACCCCCTAAACGAGCTCTGTCTGTCATGAAGTAACTTAGAGACCAGCATTACAAAGGGCAAACTGAGGAGTGATTATTTATGGACTGAAAAGGCAGAGCTCTGGGTTGCCCTGGATACCATGTTCTCATCACTGTCCTGTTCTGGCAAGGACCGAAGTCCTCATGCACAGCAACTGCTCCACTCTAAAAGTGCGGGGCCAAAAATAACACTGTTGGTAATGAACTTAATAACCCTTCCATTTGACCAAATGAGAAATTGAAAACAGTCTATTTTTTAGATAGAGAAAAGAATTGAAAAGCCCACCTTTGGTATTCATAAGATATATTTATTATTGCATCAAATTCAGTCTATTTCGATATTGGAACTATCACCAAATGGAAAATTGCATTTCTTAATGAACTCTGCATGTTGTTGTTCATATAGAGTTTAAATAGAGCAACTTGCAAGAACCATTGTGGTCTTTCTGAGAGCTCATGCCCTTCCCTTTAGAAATTGTACAGGGAGGGTGAAAAAGAAGAAATGAACAAACCCCTAACTTGATCATGATGGTATCCTGCTTTTTGTGTATCTCATGGAATCGCCACCCCCACTGGCACTCAAACCAGAAATTTGGAGGGCATCTCCACTTCTCCCACCCCTTCATTTCCAAATCCCCTCGCTACCTAACACCATCGCCTTGGCACTTTATTTTCACCCACATTCCTTCCATAGTCTCCTTGTTACCTCTCTGCCTCCAGCCCAAGCACCACAGCCTGAGGGCGAGGAGTGTCTGCTCCGAGGCCAAGTTGCCAAGTTTCAAATCCAAGCCATGACCTTGTAAAGCACTTGGCACTGTATGTGAGGCATAATAAGCATTTGGTAAATTAAGGTCAGTTGATCATTATCATTATTATTCATACTAGTGATCTTCCTAAAGCCCAGATCTAATCTTATATCTTCCCTACATAAAGCCTTTCCTAGCTCCCATTGCCTCTTTGTTTAGGCATAAAGGTCGCCCGTGATGTGAGACCTGCCCCATTCCTTGGGCTCGTCTCTCACTGTTCTTCGTCTTACATTCCACACTTCGGTCCAAGTTATAACTTTCTGAACACACTCTGCACACATCCTTGTACCTCATACCTGATTACCTCCCCAGACTTAGCTCTAAAGCCTACTGTAGCTTCTCCAGGCCTCATTGTGAGAGACAGACCGTCCTTTCTGCTACTAACAGCCAGGAATATATCCATGACACTCTTGTTCCCAAACCCAAGTTCACCTGCCCATTGCCTGAAAGATCATTACTCGAGAGATGACTTTGGGTTGGAAAGGGTAGGGGCACCCGGGTGGCTTCGTTGGTTAAGCATTTGACTCTTGATCTCTGAGCCCCACATTGAGCCCCATGTTGGGCCCTGCATTGGTCATGAAAGCCTACTTTTAAAAAAAAAAAAAAAAAAGGAAGGACTTTGAGCTTCATTGAGGAGGCCAGCAGGCAGTCTCATGGCCAAAGAGCAACTCTAAGGTTTCTGCCTGGCCTAAGGGTTTTAAAGGAGTTTAGGGCAGTTAATCAGCAAAGGCAGTGCGGTGGCCAGCAACGTCTGTTGTCACACGCACACCCGATGGTGCAGCTACAGATGTTCTCTCAGGGCTCAGGGGTTGTGTGAGAGAGTCCGGTTCTCGTTTTGCAGTGCGTGGGAGGAGAGTTCTTTCCAAGAGGGCGACTTCTACGGCTACACACAGGGAGGTCAGTAAAATCATTTGTGTGACCTGGAGAAGAAAAACATTTTGCCAAAAACTTGCTGGGCTAATCGGAAAGCCAAGGTGACTTGAGACAGACTTGCTGGCCTTTGTGGTCTGGGAAAGTTCTGGTCCTTCACTCCTCAAGGCCAGCTGTCTGCAAATCTCAAAGAAAGTAAATTAGCTCTGTTACAGATCAAGGGCCTTGGGGCAGCAGGTGAGGAGTGTGTTAAGTTCAAGTGGCCCTTACGACCAGCTAGAGTGCTGTTATACTCTCGCCCCAGCCTCGCTTATCTGTCCCACATTAATTCATTCCGCATATTTGTTTCTTGCTTTTGCTTTTGCTTTCAAGTGGTACAATATACGTTGTGCGCTGTTCTGGAAGTACAAACAAGGCTTGACCCGGCCTTGAGATGTTCACGGTGCTGGAGGGAGGTAGAGAGCAAACAGCTCCCCATAAGTCGGGCCACTAGTGATAATAGAATGAAGAGTTCCGTAATTGATACAGAAGAGAGCCCACATCAGAGGGAGCGTTTAATCCTACCTGTTGGTTTCAGGGATACTTTCACAGAGAACGCTATAGTTAAGCCAGAGTTCAAGAATGAGGGCAAACTCGCCATTAAGAGAGGGAAAGGAATTCCAAGTTCTAAACAGGAACAGAACTAAATCTGTGGATGTGAGGGTGGAATCTCTCCTTTAACAGGATAACCTCTTTGTTTCTCCATCACCTTGAACAGAACTTGAAAGGAGTCTTTGCTCATCCCCCCATGGCTACCAACCTCTACTCAGCATACACCCAGAACTCCCCCATACTTTGGCCACCCCGTGCAGCTTGCGCAGATCATGTGATGCCCTTTGTCCAGATCATGTCAATCATGTCATTGTTCATGATGCCCTTCCCTCTCCCTGGAGACCCTGCATCCCTCTCCTCTACCTGGAACACTCCTTGTTTTCCAAGGCCCAACTCAAACATCAGTGCTTCATGAAACCCTCTCTGACCCTCCACCACGCTGCGCAGAACTATTTGCTTCCTTCTGTGGGTTCCCATTATCTTCAGGCTCAGTGTTAGCATTTACCACATCAGGGAACCGTGGTTAGCAGTGTGTCCCAGTCCTGGTTGTGAGTTCTTGGAAGGCAGGACCGTGCTGAGCCCAGTGCCTGGCATGAGGTCACATTCAGTCACTGGCTGTGAGTCACTGATTG